GAGGAAATTCGATGAACATGATTGGAAGTAAAAAATCGATAATAAGTAGTGTTAAGTTAAGTTTCTCGATGCCCGGGGGCATTAGGTACTTCTGAATGGATAGTAATGTCATTTGGATTAAAAAACGCTGGGGCCACCTATCAAAGAGCAATGAATTTAATTTTTCATGATTTGATTAATGATTTCATGCAAGTTTATATAGATGATATTGTCATTGCTTCAAAGAAAAAAATTGAGCATTTAGATAATTTAAGAAAATCTTTCAAGAGGATGAGGAAATACAGTTTGAAAATGAATCCTGAGATGTGTCTAAGGTGTCTGCTGGTGAGTTTTTACGATTCATAGTTCATGAGAAAGGGATCGAGATTGATAAAAATAAAGCAAAACCAATATTAGATACATCTGCTCCAAAGAATAAAAAACAATTGCAATCATTATTAGGTGAAGTAAATTATTTGAGACGATTTATATCTAATTTGGCTGGTAAGACTTATGTATTTTCACCTTTGTTGAAGTAAAAAAAAGAAGCGGATTTCAAATGGGAGGAAGAACATCAGAAAGCCTTTTGAGCAGATTAAATTGACTTTGACGAATCCTCTGATTTTGATACCAGTAATGAAAAACAAGTCATTGAAGTTGTATGTATCAGCATCAGATCGAGCTATAGCCAGTCTATTAGCACAAGATCAGAATGGGATAGAATGTGTTGTTTATTATCTTAGTAGGATATTGAATGGTGCTGAAACTCAGTATAGTGATATCAAAAAATTAGGGCTATGTTTGTATTTTTCTTGTACTAAACTCAAATATTTGTTGAAACCCTATGATGTGATGGTCTACTCAAAATAATATTAGTGACTTTTATCCAAACCTATTATGCATAATCGAATAGGTAAATGAGTTTTGGCTTTGACAGAATTTTCATTAAAATTCGATTCCCTGAGATCGGTTAAAGGTCAGATTATTGCTGATTTTATGGCAGATCATACTATTAATCGATTCGATAATTTATTTACTGAAACAAGTAAATGGATAATGTATTTCGACGGATCAAGTACATCGGATAAGTCGGGTGAGAATTCTTATTATTTCTCCAAACAATATTCCCACTAAATTACTATTTGAAATCAAACTCATTTGTTCGAATAATGAAGCTGAATATGAAGCTTTAGTTGCAGGACTTGAGATTTTGATTAAGTTAAGCTCGACATATAATTGTAAGAGAGGATTCACAATTAGTGATTAAAGAATACAAATGCATTAATACTAATTTGTCAGATATCTAGAAAAAGTATGTGTGAAGTAAAATGTTTGACGACATAACATTCGAATATGTTCCTTGAGAATTTAATCAAGAAGCCAATGATTTAGCTCCAATAGCATCTAAATATAAAATTTCTTCGAAAAGTTTACAAATGATGATTCAGATCAAAGATAAATTACCCCAAGAATGGTAAATTTTACAAATTAATGATTTAGATGATCAGGATTTGAGGAAATCGATTGTGGAATACCTGCAAAATCCAAACAGAAGAATACATAAGAAAATAAAATATCGAGCAGTAAAATATGTGTTGATCAATGGTGAATTGTATAAAAGAGGGATTGATGAATTATTGCTAAGATGCTTAGGAAATTATGAGGCTTATCTGGCGATGACAGAAGTACATAATGGAATATGTGGTGCGCATATGGTGGGTCAGAAGATGAGATGAACATTAATTCGACAAGGATATTATTGGCCTTCGATTTTAAAAGACTATTGAATACGCTAAGTCTTGTGAAGAGTGTCAGAAGTTTAACCCTATACAACAAGTCCCTGCTAGTGAATTTCACTAGGGCAATTGATTTAATTGGTCAAATTTTTCCACAGTCATCGAGAGGACATAGATATATAATAGTAGTTGTCCATTATTTTTCAAAATGGGTAGAAGCAATCCCGTTAAAAGATGTCGATCAACAAGATGTGATTAATTTCATTGAGGAATATATTATTTACCGATTTGGAATACCGTAGTCCATTACTACCGATAGTGGGACAGTTTTTACTGGTAAAAAGATGGTTAGATACGCTTACTCTAGGAATATTCAGTTATTAGCATCGACTCCGTATTATGCTCAAGCTAATGGACATGTTGAAGCAATTAATAGTGATAATTAATTTGATTAAGAAACATGTCGATAACTGTTTCTGGTGAAAATTTGATCGATTTCGAGTTCTCAGAGACTTAGATTCTAACCAAATTTCAACCACGTAGATTCTTTTTACTTAGGCTAGCAAACAGTTTTCAATCGAAACATGTATGAGAATCGAAAACGTCAGATAAAGCATGCACGTATATTAAAAACATGGAAAGTGTGATAAAGCATACATATCGAAATCGAAAGTACTATTTTTGGTATTTTTTATTAAATTGCAGAGAAATGTAAATGCGGAACCTTAAAATTGCATTAAGTGTAAATGGCAAGGAATTGAAATTGCAGAAATATAAATAGCAGGAAATCGAAATTGCAGAAGTGTAAATGGCGAGGAATTTAAAGGACAAAATCTTAAAGTTGACAAATGTAAATGACTGATCGAACGTAAATTGCATGAAAGTAAATTACCAGGGAAAGTAAAGAAAGTGATAAAGACAATCAATGAAAATGGAAATCCGGAGCGCTAGAAACTTCATGATGCGTCGTTCTCCTGTAGACTTTTCACTTGCGTTTCGTTGTCTCTCGCCAATTTCCTGTTCTTCTTCATGCTTCATTCTATTTATAGGCCCGCTTAAACGTAACCTCCTAAGAGCGGTTAAAAATCGCTATCACGTTCCATGTGCATGTCCCTCGATTTTTTACCTTAGCCTATGGTTTAGAAAACCGCTTCCATGTTCCATGTACATGATTCCCCTCGATCTCGATTTCAGATATCGAGTACTTTGAATTGTTTCTGATTTCCCTTAACCTTAACTTTACACTCAATTCTTTCGATTCTCGATTCCAATTCTCAATTTCCTTCAGCAATAGTCATTGAACCCTCTTCTTTCGATTCTCGATTCCCATTCTCGATTCTCTTCAGCAATAGCCATCGAATCTTCTCTTTTCGATTCTCGATTCCAATTCTTGATTTCCTTCAACAATAGTCATCGAATCCTCTTCTTTCGATTCGCGATTCCCATTTTCAATTTTTTCCCACTAACACAGGGACTTGTTGTATAGGACTAAACTTCTGACATTCCTCACAGGACTTAGCATATTCGATACAATCTTTTAAAATCGAAGGTCAGTAATATCCTTGTCGAGTTAACGTCCATCTCATTTTTTGGCCTACCATATGTGCATCACATATTCCATTATGTACTTCTGCCATTGCCAAATAAGCATCGCCATTCCCTAAACATTTAAGCAATACTTCATCGATACCTCTTTTATACAATTCATCATTGAACAACACATATTTTACTGCTCAATATTTTATTTTCTTATCGATTCTCCCGTTTGGATTTTGCAAATAGTCCATAATCGATTTTCTCCAATCTTGATCATCTAAGTTATTAATTTGTAAAATTTCCTTTTCTTGGGGTATTTTCTCTTTAATTTGAATCATCTTTTGTAAATTTTTCAGAGAAATTTTATACTTAAATGTTATTTGCGCTAAATCATTGGCTTCTCGATTATATTCTCGAGGAACATATTTGAATGTTATGTCATCAAACATTTTACTCAAAGTAATTACTTTTTCTAAGTATCTCGAACAAATTAGAATTGATACATTTGTATTCTTTTCGAACTTGTTTGATTACTAATTGTGAATCACCCCTTACAATTACGGGTCGAGCTTTCAATTTAATCAAAGTCTCGAGACCTGGTAGTTCTGATAAATTTTGCGCTAAGAATAATAAATTAATATCAATAAATACAAGTTAATATATATGCATATGTAATTTAATTCACTAGATCAGTTCAGTTTAGTGGTAAGACACATTAGATTAGATCATTTATATACCGTTAGTTAGATCCCATTCTCCACTGTAACATACTCCAACTTCAGGTAGCATTTCGTTTCTTTTCTTTCTCTTTCTTTATCGTTTCTTTTCTTTCTCTTTATCATCTCTCTCGTTAACTCTCACTTCCCATTGAAGGTTCTCACAATTCTTCCAAAGAAAAAAATGAATTCCCAAGAATCTCCTGAAATAGTAAGAAATTTACCGTCGTTTCTTTTATAAATTTTCCAATGCGATCACTGGTTTAAAAGAACTACTTATGAACCTAAAATGGTGATGATAAGTGAGGACGACATTTCTTGTTTTGTTGATAGCAAGTTATTCTTAATATGACAGTGGATATGTGTGACGTTTATTTTTTTATTTTTTCTTTATTTTGTCTCTGTCTGGGTTTTGTGATTTAATCTTTAAGCACTTGTTATTCTACGTTGGATTGAACAGATAAAAATGCGGGCTCGGCTCAAGGAATATATAGTGCGGTACTATCAAGTATGTTTTCAATAAATGTGAAAATGGCACTTGTGTTCATTTGTAAATATAATCTCTTCTTGATGGTTTCATTTTACGATTCTTTCCGAAATAGTGAGAGATGGATTCATGGGATAATTTCTCTTAAAATTCGTAGCAGTGTAAATATTTTGTACTTATCAATAGCATGTATTAACGTTAGAATGGCACGTATTAACGTTAGAATTTTCTGAATGTAGCAAGTATGTTCCAATCATGCACGACCTTACCAGTTATATTCACTCTTATTTGCAGCGTCTGCATAATGATATATATGATATACTGGATCCTACGAAAGTTTTCACACCATCATTCTGCGCAATTGAAGAAAATAAAGAAGTGGGTTATAGAAGTATAATGTCTTGTCCAGAGATTTATGCATTTGAAATGCTTCTACCACAATTTCGTCAAAAGCTGATTGCTTTTTCCTTTGCCTGCATATATTATTCATTTTATCCGTGGGTTTTATGTTCTTATTAAATTCTGGTTGCTTAGGTGGATAATTTTTTAAGATGGAGCAAGGATCACAGCCTCACAATCATACGACCTAATGTAATGCACGGTGTTAGGTATTCCCTCACGTATCTTAGAGAGATCAAGTGGTGTAGAATTGACGATCCCAACAAAAAAACTATACAGATCTTCGTTAAGACCCTCACCGGAAAGACCATCGCTCTCGAGGTTGAGAGTTCCGACACCATTGACAATATCAAGGCCAAGATCCAGGACAAAGATGAAATTCCTCCAGCCCAGCAACGTCTCATTTTCGCCGGTAAGCAGCTCGAGGATGGGCCAACCCTCGCCGACTACAACATCCAGAAGGAATCAACCCTTCACCTCGTCCTCCGTCTCCGTGGTGGCTTACAGATCATCGTCAAGACTCTCAGGGTGGTGGAGAATTTGGACACCATTACCCAGGACAAGGAGGAGGGAATTACCTCGGACCAGCAGATATTGATCTTTGCTGGCAAATAGCTTGAGGATGGCTGAGGATGGAAAGAACTCGGGTGACTATAACATTCAGGAGGAATCTACCCTCCACCTGAGGTTTCGTCTTTGTGGTGGTATGCAGATCATTCTGAAGCTCTTCACCGATACCATTACATTTAAGGTTGAGAGTTCGCATGCTAACATCGAGGCCACGAAGGCCTCTCAAGGAGGGGTTAAATAGTTTTTCTCATTGTTTTTTTTATGTGGTTGTTTTCTTTTTGTTATTTCATGAAAAGTTTTAGTTTTCCAAGATAAAATGAAATTTTGAGTTTTTAAATCTAAATTATTGTTTATATTTTATACATGAATATATTATATATCATGTTTTTACCTATATTAATTATCTTAAATAGTATATCATAATTAATATATTTTAATAAATGAGGGACAAAACTATATAATATCCAATTGTTTTTTAATAGGTATTAATAAGTATAGATAATTTAACAATCCATATTTACTTAAATTAATTTAATCATCCTAATACTTAAATTAATTTAATCATGCCAATTCAGATTTTTTTTTTAAATTGAATTCGACTCAATTTCTATCTCGACATTTTAAAATTTATTTACACTTTTTTCCTCTCTTATATAATATATTATTTTTATTAATATCACAAAACAATCAAGCGCAAGTTATAACATTATAAATCTGAATAGAGAATCTTCATGAGTTGATGTGACGTAGGAAAATGTCGTCAATAGAAAATGTTATTTATATTTTATTTGTCTTTATTGATAAGTTATATTAATTTTATTTATGTCAAGATAAAGAAAACTAACAAATGCTGAAATAAGGATATTCATATTATAACTAAGTTGTAAAAACATATATGTAATAGTAATACCTAACCCTTTTTAAAATAATATTTTTAAAAAAATTAAATAAATTTTATTAATCACTCTTCAGATTTTGTTGATTTATATATTTTTAATATTTATAACACCTTTTTTTATTTTATATATTTAATATTTAAAAATAAAATAAAATTTAATTAATATAAGTAAACTTATTTGAAGGGGTTAATCTTTCTTACTTCATTTATAAATTTTAAATTAAAATAATCAAGTAAACAAAAATCAAACTCTGCACTGTTTCAACCAAAAACAATTAATATTTTTTAAAATAATTTTTTCTATAATTCATATCCTAGTTAAAAACAAAAAATTTAAAGTGAGAGGGAAAATTTAAATTTTTTTAAAATTATAATTATGGGTGAAACGTTTCTCAGGTGGAATTTGGGATATTTTTGGAGAGTAATTAATATTGTAAAAGACTGGAGTTCTATCTTGTTTATTTATTTTCTCTTTTTCTTATTTTTTTCTCTCATCTCCTTTTTATTCTTTTTAATTAAAATATTATATTAAAATTTAATAAAAATATATTAAAACAAATATTTTAAAATCAACATTAAAATTAAATAAATATCAATTAATTATTTAAAATTATGACAATAAATGATTTTATATATAATGACAGTAAGTAAATAATTAATTTAAAATTATTTTCATAAAAAATAATTACTATTTTAATTAACAAATATCAAATATTTAAAATGTATTTTTTACTTAATAATTTAATGCAGTTATAATTAAGTTAAATGATGATAATTAGTTATATTAGATAATTTTACAAAATATTAATTAAAAATTACTTTAAAATAAATATTTATTTTTTTCTTAATAATAATAATAATACTTATAATATTTTAAACTTATCATATAATATTTTAAACTTATCATATAATATTTTTTAAATATAATATATTAAATTATAGAATTTATAGGTCATTTAAATATTTTTAAAAATAATAAAATATTCACTTTGCTAAATTTTAATTTAATATTTTTAATTAATAAGATAAGATAAAGTGAAAGTAGAGTAAAAAAAATACTAATTAAAGACAGTCAAAATATACTGGAATAAATAAAAAAAGAGAAAAAAATAAATTGAAAAAAGGAAAATTAATTGTATTATATAAGATGAAATTATTATCTTATTAAATTTTATTTTATATATCAATAATAAATATGTCTAATTGAATAAATAAAATTAAAAAATATTTAAATATTTTTAAAAAATATATTATTTATAATATTAATTAGATAATACTCATTAAATATTTAATTATAATGATAACAATATGAGGTTGAATTACGGGGTTAGTGCGTCGTGAAAGTGTGAGAATATTGGACATTTCAATTTACCGCATGACTTTCAATCTGTATGAACTAAACAGTAGGATAAACTGACCTACGTAACTAATTAAGACAGTCTTTTAATATATTTTTTAATTGAAATAATTTTTTTATTTTTTTATTTATTATATAATTTTTTTAATAATAATAGCATATCGCATTAATATTCCGTCTAAAAATTATCTACTTTTAATTTTGTCATTATATATATAAAATAATTATAGTTAAGAAAACAATTATTTATTTTATTGTAATTAAATAATTAAAATAAATTATTTAATTATTAAAAAATAAATAACAAGTCTCAGATATTTTTATGATAAATTAATCTTTGTGATGACAAATTTATAATCCAAAATAACATATGAAATTGTAATTGCAATTATTGAATAAGATAGAGATAAAAGAAAAAATATGAATTTAAAAGTGAAAAATTAAATAAATATTTTAATATAACTTTAAAGAAAAAACATAAAAATGTAAAAACAATATAAAACCTCTTTTAAACTTTCATGTTTATATGTTACTTCAATCTTTTTTCTTTTAGTTATGTTTTTAATTATTTTTTCTTTATATAAATAAATTAAAAATTATAATTTCAAGAACAGTGAATTTTTGGGAAACTATTTTTATATAAATTAAATAAATAAATAATATATATATATATATATATATATATATATATATATATATATATATATTAAGTGATGAGGAACAAATTTTTTGAAATATTTTGATATTCATCCCTCTCAAACTTGAAACACTAAACAACATTATAGAGTAGGGTTAGTAATGATTACCAATATTTCTTCCCTGAAAACATTAAAATTTTATATTAATAAAAAACGTTTAACTCGGATTATTTTGTACTGTATAAAAAAAGTCAATTACTAGTTAAATTAAATAATTGGTAATGTATGAATATTTTTATTTGATAAATAATACAGTAGTTTTTTATAATAAAAAAACTTAATAATTACAGTTTGATGATGAAAATCATAAATATCACCTAACAAAAACTCTTGATAATTATGACAGCTAAATTATTGTGATTAGAAGCCAAAACTCTATGTCTCACTCTTTACTCTAACAATTTTTAAATAGAATTTGGCAAACATATTTGAAATTACTCATTTATATGATATAAGTTTAATATTTAATAAAAATACTAATGATGGAAAACTTTATATATATATATATATATATATATATATATATATATATATATATATATATATATAAACTTCTCATCTCAATGTTTTTTAATTTAATAATTATAACAATTTATCTTCATTATTAAATTATAAAATAATAAATTTTGAAATGGCGTATAATTTCTTTTATATAAATAATTATTTATTTTAAGCATTAAAAAAAATATTTGTCATTCATTCTATAAAAATTCTATTGAAATATATATATATATATATATAAATATTTAATCTTCGTTTTAATTAATTTATTTTTAAAATAATAATTAAAATAATAATTCATCTCAAAAAATATAAATACGTCCATATCACATGTCACCCGTCATAAACATCAAATAACCACATATGGACACGCGTCACAACATGATTGGAGAAGGTTCCACCCTTAGGCTATAAAATGGCCCAAACCCCTTCACATTCTTCACAGTTTAATTTCAAACAAATTAGGTCATTTTATCTCGCACAGTTTCCTACCTCTCCCTTTAAGGTTCATCCATTTTATTGTATTGTTCTTTGTGTGTGAATTATCCCTTTATATTTTTCTTCTTTATTCGTTGTGAATTATCGTTTGTATTTTTCTTTTTCATTCATTATGTGAATTATCCTTTTTCTCTACGAGTTTATCTATTAATTATCCTTTTGTATTTTTCTTATTCGATTTGTGAATTGTTCCTTTTTTTTCCTAAGAGTTTGATCTATTTTAGATAGGATTTGCCCAATTTCATCTTTCTTAAATTCATTTTCATAATTATACAATTTTTCTTTTATTGTAGATTAGGTCTAATCCTTGTTTTATACTTATAATTTTTTTATCCGATCAATGATCTAATTACAATTTTATATTTAAATTTTTTTAGATAGATATGCTACTTATTTTTTTCGTGTAGTTTTTTTTTTTTTTAAGAAATAGTTCATATTCCCTAATCCAGACTTGGGTCTTTTTTAGTGAAATTCTTCAAATTTGATTTTTGATATTTACTTTATTTAATCATAAATTATTTAGTTATATCATTACTTATTATTCTGATCTGATTGTGTTTCTTAACTTTTAGATGCAGATATTCACCTTTACTTGGAAAAACCATCACTCTCAAAGTTGACAACTCCGACACCATTTACAAAGTTAAGGTCAACATCCAGGAAGAAGGAATTCTTTCGGACCAACAACATCTCATTTTCGCCGATAAACAGCTCGAGGACGGACGAACCCTCGCCAACTACAACATCCGAGAGGGAATCAACCCTTCATCTCGTCCTTCATCTCCGTGGTGGTATGCAAATCTTTGTGAAGATCCTTACTAGTAATTCTATTATCATTGAGGTTGAGAGTTCGGACACTATTGCCAATGTCAAGGCCAAGAACCAGGTCAAGGAGGTTTTATCGATAATTTTTTTCAAGGCCAAGAACCAGGTCAAGGAGGTTTTATCAATAATTTTTTTCAAGGCCAATAACCTGGTCAAGGAGGTCTCATCGATAATTTTTTTCAAGGCCAAGAACCAAGTCAAAGAGGTTTCATCGAGTAATTTTTTTTCAAGGCCAAGATCTTATCAGTAATTTGTTTTCCTATTTTAATGAGCTTTTTTGTTGTTTTTGCTAGCCTTCTCAATGTCAAGACTAAGAACCAAGTCGAGGAGGTCTTATCAGTAATTCGATGTTCTCCTTTTCTTTTTATTTTGATGAGTTTTTTTGTTCTTTTTGTTAGCCATGCATACTGTCATCTTCT